GTGCTCTAATTTCCTGAATTCGGCTCTTTTCTTTGAGGGTGCCCTCTGTTATATACACAGACCCCAATTAGGGGGTGATTATTTCCCTTACTAAAAGGCTTGGTGTTTCGGTTTCATTAACTAGAGAGTTCTTCCCATGCACGAAGAACAGGATTAGATTTATAGAAATTCGATTTACATTTGGCTTTTTAGGAACAGATGTCTTGCACAGCCAAGCCACCACTCTATCTGTCAGGCCGCCCGAAGTTATAGTTTATAGGCTCCTTTTATTCCCCTCTGGCACATTTCCGTTTAACCCCTTCTGATCTGGATTGGCTAAAACCACTCTGGGCACCTGGCCACCTAAACCAACAGCTTCTTCTTGAAATCATCCATCCGCACCTCCCTGCATTATATGCTGCTGCTGACTATCCCATTCTTCCTAAGACCCTCAAAATCCTTGGCTCTCTGGCCTCTGCCCACCCCCGATGAGTCTGATGACCTGCTGACCCAGCTTCCTGCTGGGCATCTCCAAGCGGGTGTCTCAAAGGCCAACATGCTGAAGCAGATGAGGGTCCTCCATTCCAAACAGGCTCCGTTTCACACCCCTGGGGAAGACACCACCATCTGCCATTCTCACAAGCATCTTCTTCTGGGGCCCTTGTGCCACAGATCCAATCCATCACCAAGCCGTGGGGCGGTCGTCTCCCGAATACATCTCAAGCTGACCCACCTCTGTCTGCCACACGTTAAGCTCCACAAGCGCTGGAACACTCTATTTCTGTTTATTATCACAACCCAGTGCTTACTAGCACAGTGCCTGGCACCTGAGAGGCACTTGATAAACGCGCTCTGAATGAGCGAGTAAGTGAGCGAAGGAATCCCCTATTTTACAAATGGAAACACTGAGGCTCAGAGAAGGGCAATGATGCGCCCCAGGTCATGGAGATGGAGCAAACAGGACTCAGCCCGAGGGTGGCTGGGGGCCCACCTTCCCCCTGCTCTAAGCAGGGGGTCGGTTATGGTGCAGCCCCGCTCCTGTCGGGGGCGTCCGCCTTACCTGAGAGCACCGTGAATACAGCCGCGAAGGCGTTGAGCTTGAGCCCGTCGATGACATTGCTGGAGTGGAAGAGCTCGAGACACATGAGGCTGAAGCCGACCACCAGCAGAAGGATATAGAGCACCTCGGAAACCACAGAAAGCCACAGGACCCCTGCATGATAGAGGCAGAGGCGTGAGATGAGGGGCACAGCCTGGATGCTCCCAGGGGGCACCCCCCTCGCCCTTTGGTCGGGGGATCAAGTGGTTCAGAACAGGCCTCGGTGGTAGGCTGGGTCCCGATTAGGGTAAGGCCGTCACGGCCACCCATCCTCCTCACCAGACTAACTCACGGATCCAGGCCTATGTGAGGTGGATGAGGTACTCTCGGGGCGGTGGTTACCGGTGCAGGGTGGCGTGTGACCGATACGTGGACCCATTCAGATTGGAGGGAGGTTTCCCTCCTGTGGCTATGTGACAGCCTCACTTTCTCATCTGTTAGATGGCTGCCCCTGGAAGTCACCTACGGCCAGGAGGACCTCTACCTCAGGGTGGGGCGGACACTTAGTTATCGAGCAGAGCAACGGAAAGGTGACCACATTGGGCCAGAAAGCTTCCCAGTGGTCAAGCTGGTCAGAGCGATGTTCTCCGTTCTCTGCAGCTAGAACCATCCCAACTCACAAGCACATCATGCGTACCCTCGAAGGACACCCCCGTTTTTATCTGCCCTGTACCCTACTCCACTTCTTTCTACAATAGAAACCAGCACAGCTACTCCCTTCTTTGTGGTTCCTGTAGGAATTGCCACGCTCTGCTGCGGTCCCACCCTTCTGGGCACCGCTGATTGGTCTGATAGGATCAGGTGACCTATAATCGGTCAATCAAAGCCCTTCCCTAGGACCCTGAGCCTGGAAACACGAAATAGATGGGAAACGAGGCTCCGCCGAGAGTCCGAGCACCTGACAGTGTGAGCGCATGGTTCCAGCTCATTCTCGAAGCCCAGATGCACCCCCGGCCTTCCAGCGGTGTGGTGTTCAAACCTTTTTTATATTCTGCAAGACAGCACAGCTCCTTTCCCACAAATCAGTCCACACGGGGTTACCATCATTTGCTACTTAGTTTAGGGGGCATCTTGTGTTTCTCCATCCCACATTCTCCCCCCTTCCTTCTCTCCACTTATGCAGTTCGGTTGCAACTGAGCCATCTCCTGGCTCCATGTTCGGGCACAGGACTCTCTGACCAATCAGAGGTCTGTGTACCCCCTGACTCGTCACTGGTTCAGGAATGAGCCTCTCTGTGCCTCAGTTTCTTCACCTATAAAATGGGGATCATAATAACACCCATTTCATAATATTGTGCTGGGGATTTGATTACACAGCAATGAAAAGAGGCGGTGCTTAGCATGTAGTGATAGCTCCATTCATGTGCATTATTACAGTCGCTTCATGGAAGGAACGGGGTGTGGGGAACGGGAAGTAGAGCCCAGTGGCTCTTGAGGGAAGGTCAAGGCTACAGACAGAGTCAAGAGGGAGAAATGAAACTGTGACCTGTAAGTAGATAAGATTTCTGAGACAAAGGGTGGAGAGTAGACCATGGAACGCACCCAGGTACCTCACCTTTCAAGCCTCACAAACCACACGGTTTGAGCAAGGCCCCTCCTTTAGAGAAGGGACTATGGGCCAGGCTTGCCCAGCCAGGGATGGGCACACGGCCCGAGTTGGTCCTCCAAAACTCAGCCACAGGGCTTTTGCTGGAACTACTGGGAAATAAGATTCCTTTCTTGCCACTGGTGTTGAGGCTGGGGAGGTGTAAGGAAGGGGCTGACTGACTCACCACGTGACAAGGGCCTGCTTGAGGGCAGAGCCAAGAAATGGAGGAAGCATGTGTCCTGTGACACTGTGTGAGCCCCTAGATCCAGCCATGCCTGAAGCTGCTGATCATTTGTCCTTTCAATCCCACAAACCAATAAATACCCCGCCTTTGTCTAAGCCAGTCTCAGGTAGAATTTCTATCACTTACAGCTAAGAGTCCCAATCGTCAGCTTTTCTATTCTCTGAAACTGTCAGACACGTTCTTTCCTACCTCTCCACCTTTGCACAAGTGGCTCCTTCTCCACGGAGTGTCCCAGGGACATCCCAGGGAGGCTATTTAGTGAAGGAAGCAAACCAACAGCCATTTCGGAGTCTCTCTCTGCTCCCTGAGGATGAACACAGGTTCTCAAACACCCACTGTCATCCTTAGCACAATGGGGCCTTCAGAGCTGGGAGAACTTTTCTTTTCTTTATTTTTTTAAAATATCGCATCTCCTGGGCAATCCCTTGGATTTCTGTGAGGGGATAATGTGTGCTTGGTAGCTTGACTGTTGTCACCACACCCCCTGGCCCCACACACTCGCAGCCTCCCAGGCCCAGCGCTGGTCCCAGGCCCCACCAGGAAGCAGGGAGGAAAGCGGGAGGTGCGGGGCGAGCTGGGTCCCCTCTCCCTCCCAGCAGCCTTTGCCTCCAGTTGCTGTTGCCCCGCTAGTGGGCCGAGGACACCCCTCACCATGGTGGCTCTGATTCAGTTGCCTCCCCAGCACGCAGGAGCCCCACTTCCCTGGAGGGTGCTGTCATCTGCCCACGTGAGCCCTGGGCCAGGCTGCTACCCCCACAGCTCGTCTCACAGCAGGGCCCAGCTCTGCTGTTTCAGGAGGGACGCGAGTTGGGACGGGCGCAGGGTGGGATGCTTGGGAAGGAAGTTAACCACAGAGAAACAGGCACCGGTCCTCAGATACCTGGCTGGGTTATGCTTCTGATTCCCACCAGATTTACTTCTCTTTCTGCCCACTGGGCTAGGAGAATCTGTCTGAAAGCTCCAGCCCACCCAAGCCAAGAAAATGAATACCAATAAGAAGTGTTGTCATTGTACTACTAGAAAGGGCCAGCAGGTACTGGGCATTGTTTATCACCTGCCAAGTCACCTGGATGCCTTTGCTCCATTCATGCCCCTCACACCCCTTTTATTGGTTCTCTCCTTAGACGACTGACCTTGGGCCGCTGGACTCCCTTTTGCCACCTTCGATTAGAAAGAGTCTGATGGGCCGGCCGAGTGGCGCGTTGGTTAAGAGCTGGATTGGGGTGCCAGAGGGCCCTGGTTCGGTTCCCACATATGAGGGCCAGTGACACTACCCTCCACAGCTAAGATGCTGAACAACAGCTCAACCTGGAGCTGGGCTGCTGTGAGTTGCCAGCAACGGTGTAGGCTGCAGTCCCTGTGGCAGTGGGTTGCCATGGGCTACCGTATGTAGCCAGCAGCCAGCGTGAGCATCCAGGAGCCGCCATGAGCGGCCGTCCAGAAGTCGGCGACTGATCTGCCTCGGCCGGGAAGAGCGCAATGATGGTGGCAACTTGGGCCAGTGAAGCAACGTCCTCCACAACTAGACTGAAGAACAAAACAACAGCAACTTGTCTGTTCCCCTTCCCCTAATTCCCCAATAAAAATCTTTAAAAAAAAAAAAGAAAGAAAGAGTCTGGAAATGTACATTTCCCTCTGTGCTGTCATCCACCAGTCACTGACCAGTGGCCCTGCCCTGTGGCTCTGGCTGAGGCAACGCTGGGATGTGACCCGCACTGCAGAGCCCCCACCCCGACCCTGGGGTTAAGACTGCAGCCGCCTCTCTGGGTCTTGGCCTGACATTGTCCCCTGACTTGCCTTCCTCCCTCCACCATCCTGCGCTTCACATCCCCTCCCATTCTCCTTTGGGGCGTTTCCTCTATGAATAGCCTACACAGGAATCCCCACCTCAGGGCCTGCTTCTAGGAAGTCAGACCTCAGACACAAGTATGCACATGAATTACCTCCCTGATCCTCCCAACAACCAGATGAGCAAGCTTAGGTTCAGAGGAATTGAGCAACTGGTCTACACAGCTAGACAGTGGGATAGTCTGGATTCAAACCCGGACTGTAACTCCAGGAACCACTACAGGGAGAGAGGTTGTAAGCTGGCAGGGTGCTGGGGCCACTTTGAAATCACTCTCCACACATGGGCTGGTCGCAGGGGCCCGTCTGGGTTGGGGCGCGTAGGGGTCCCTGGCCACGGCTCCCGTTACATGCTCTCCAGCATCCCACCCAACTCTGGAACCAGGATTCCTGCAGGACGAGGGCTACTGAGTGGAAAAGGGGCGGGGCCTTCAGGTCCCCGGGACCCTGAGCCCAGCGGGCCACCGGGGGTGGTGGGGAAGAGGCTACGGGGAGGAGCAGGTGGGTCTTGAAGGTCTCACGTGGGACAGACATGTGCTGGGCCCCACTCTGGAGGGCGTGTGGGCGGGGAGGCCAGGTGGAGGCTTTTGCCACACTCCATTCGAGAGATGATGGTGGCCTGGGTCATGGCAATGATGCGAGGACGAGTGGGGGACTTGATCACACCCAAGGGCAGGCTCCGTGGCCTGCTGACCCATGAACGTGATGGGAAAGGAGAGGAAAGTCTCCCGAGTGGGGCCGTGTTTCCAGCTTGGGCACCTGAACCCGGGGTCAAGTCCTTCCCTAAGAACGAGAGGATGTTAAGGGACAAAGATGATGAGGCCACGTCTGGACTGTGATGACATGTCTGCTATGAGTATCCCATACATGGCAGCTGCCTGTGCAAAGCCCGTGGAGCAAAAGCAAAGGGTGAGACGTGGAATCCACAGAACATCAATAATTCAAGGGAGGGGGCTCTAAAGGTGTAGTGACACTGTGGGTGTCCCACCCATCCCTGCACACAGCATTCAGTGCACACTGCCACCAGCCAGCACCTGTGCCCCTCTGCCTGGTCTCCAGAGCCCACCCTCCACCTTCCCCCACCTTTGCAGCAGGCTGGGGACTGACATCTCCCTGCCCTCCACCCCCAGCAGCAGCCCTCAAACAATGCCAGACATGAGCTGGTAAGAATCCCCAGAAGGGCAGCACTGGGTGGGGGTGCTATGTACATGTCTGTTTCCCACGAGGAGAGAGGTGGTGTTAAGTGTGGTGAACCCCAACATTACACTGTCTGAATCCTAGAGTGAAAAAGCTATTCGCTTTTCCATTAATTTTTAAATTCGTAACATCTCCATCAAGAGTCTCCGTTTGGGGCCAGCTGAGTGATGCGCTGGTTAAGAGCTGGCTTGGGACGCCAGCTCTGTGCAGCAGGGCCCCGGTTTGGATCCCACATGAGGG